TGGATCCAGATCCAACTCCTCCCACCTTACATATACCTAAACCTACCCGTCTCCACCCCCTGATCCCTAAACCCACCCATCTCCACCCCTAAACCCTAGATGTGGATCCAATCCCGCCCCCTGGATCTTTGTTCTGCAGTGAGGGGCTACTGGGACGAGCCGCCACTGAATAAAGCAGACTTTGACTTTTGACTTTGACCATAAGTGATTATGTGGTTGCTCATATTAAAAAAAGATAAAAATCTCTAAGATCTGTCAACCACAAATAAAATAAGTTCAGTTGGTTAAATTATGACTGGCTTTGAGTGAGATATTGCATGAATAGAATATAAAATCATGTTAAGTAAAATAATAAAAATAGTTAAGTAAAAGTTCCTTTTTGTAAAAAATACGTTCAGATATCAAATAAAAAAGGGGGCATCTGAGGTCAGATGTGTTGATAAATCTCTTTCTTTATTTTTATTTCTTTATTTTCTAACAGATCATGCAGTTTTTTCAGGTGATGACTCATTGTGAACAGGGCGACAATGAGAAACATTGACAAATGATCACCAAGACTGCTTTTAGAGGTTCTGCTGTTGATGTTTTAATGGACAATTCACACATCAGAGTTCTTCTAATTACTTAGAATCTTGAGATGTTACCCAGCCTGTATAAAAATAATGAAGAATTACCTTAAAAATAGAAGGACTCAAGTGAACAGGAAAGGTACATCCTCATGTGTTTCTGGTATTTTCTTGAATTTAAATAAATAAATAAATAAATAGCCAGGTTGCAATGGATCATACAGCATGATACGACAATTATATGCAACAATCATACACATTTTTTATTCAGATTGGTATATTACCTTATCCATTTTTCTCTCCCTTCCTTCCCAAGTGAAAAGCAAACTCTCATCCAGAAAGCAGACTCAGATTCTGGAGGGTCTCGTTTGAGTTTGAGTTGTCCAATCTAAATGTGATGCTTAAGATACATACAGATATTGTAATTTATGACACAATATTTAATTGGCCTTAATCTTTTTTTTTTTTTACTTTTTTCGCTATAGCTTCAGCTAAAGGTGATTATTCTGCTACTTATAGTGAGTTAGTTAATAGAATATTAAGGGAAGTTGTGGCCTAATGGTTAGAGAGTTGGACTCATAACCCAAAGGTTGCGGGTTTGAGTCTCGTACCGGCAGGGATTGTAGGTGGAGGGAGTGAATGTACAGCGCTCTCTCCCACCTTCAATACCACGACTGAGGTGCCCTTGAGCAAGGCACCGAACCCCCAACTGCTCCCCGGGCGCCGCAGCATAAATGGCTGCCCACTGCTCCGGGTGTGTGTTCATGGTGTGTGTGTGTGTGTTCACTGCTGTGTGTGTGCACTTTGGATGGGATAAATGCAGAGCACTAATTCCAAGTATGGGTCACCATACTTGGACACATGTCATGTCATGTCACTTCACTCACTTTTATTAAAATAAAACTAAATGATTCATTTATTTTTCAGCATCTGAAGAGAGTATGGAACAAGCATCCTGATGATCCTGATGAAGTTGTTGTCTCGGATATCAGCACGGTATTTTAAGGACCGGTTTACAGTAAGTAATTTACATTGTTGGTGTGTTAAATTAGTAGAAACTAGAGCATTGTTTTTGTTCTAAAATGATACAAAGAGTCCAATTGCACTTTTTAAAATCTCAATTCAGGTTTATTGGCATGACATTGTTGTACAGTATTGCCAAACACTATGATGCTATTTCACAGATTGTTTTTCATAATAATTCTTCATTTAAGAAGTTATTTTCCCTATAAGTGAATACAACCCAGGATCTGATATCCTCCCATTTATAGATGGTATATTTTACAGTCACTTATTTTATCCTTATCAGTAATGTAGTTTACTCAATACTTTTAAGTTTTATGCCTGTTCGATTGTGTCATTTGCAACACATTGTGAGATGTGTAATTCATTCACTCTTACAGGATGTTGTAAGAACATAGTATTGTACCTTTAATGCATAAAATAAAATGTACTATAGGAACCCATATCCAGTGACATAAACAGAACTTTTCTTTAGGTGCTCTGCTCACCAATGGATCCTTTGCAGTGAATGGGTGCCGTCAGAATGAGAGTCCAAACAGCTGATAAAGACATCCAGCCTGGTCTCATTGTTTATACATAGGTATTAGGACGTAACCTTTACAAGCACAAAACATACATTTTTTTTTTTTTTACATTTTTATTGATTCTGAAACATACAATTTGGATTACAAAGTTTAAAATGTAAAAATTGCTACAGAAGTCATGGCCTAAAGGTTAGAGAGTCGAACTTGTAACCAAAAGGTCACGAGTTTGAGTCTAGGTACTGGCAGGGATTGTAGGTGGGGGGAGTGAATGATCAGCGCTCTCTCCCACCTTCAATGACATGACTGAGGTGAGACACTTGAACAAGGCACCGAACCCCGAACTGCTCCACGGGCACCGCAGCAAAAATGGTTGCCCACTGCCCCGGGTGTGTGTGTGTTTGTTCATTACTCACTGCTGTGTGTGTGTGTGTGTGGATGGATATGGGACGCCACACATCCTTTCCTTTAAGTATTTTTAGCTAAAAAAGTAAAATATTTACAAATCTTTTATGTCATTAAAGGGGTCATAGGATGCCCATTTTCCACAAGTTGATATGATTCTTTAGGGTCTTAATTAAAAGTCTGTAACATAGTTTGGTTAAAATTTCTCAATGGTAGTGTAAAAAACACCTTTTT